GCCATAATTTAGGAAAACTCAAGCCTCGTTGCTTCATCTCCTTGGGGGAAAGCATGTCCCTTTGCACTTTTTCTCTTATACACATAACAATAGTAACTTCTAGTTTTGGTTTTCTGGTTTTAGTATCCACAAAAAGTCACACAGTTGCCCAAACTCAATTACTTTTTACATGAAAGAGAAAGCAGCTAGGGGCAATGGCTCACACCCCTGTAATCCCAACACTTCAGAAGGCCAAGGCAGGAGGATCGCTTGAGTCCAGGAGTTCAAGACCAGCCTGGGCAACATAGTGAGACCCTGTCTCTAAAAAAAATTTTTTTAATTAGCTGGACATGGTGGCTCATGCCAGTAGTTCCAGCTACTTGGGAGGCTGAGGTGGGAGGATCACCTGAGCCTGGAAGGTCAGAGCTGCAGTGAGCCGAGATCATGCCACTGCACTCCAGCCTGGACAACAGAGCAAGACCCTGTTTCAAAAAAAAAAAGAAAAGAAAAGAGAACGAAAAATAAGGCCTTTTGGGCTTGAGACCCTGTCCTCTGCCTGCACCAGTGCCCTTCCCAGGCCCTCTTGGAAATCCACTCATGCCGTGTGGTCTGGGCTCTGCCTGGCCTTCATGAAACCTTCCAGACCCTGGCGCCTCACCAGTGCCTCACTGGTGGCCCGTTGGATGTTTCAAGGTGAGACAATAATGACATTTTGGTTACAAGCCTCAGGAAAGTTGATCATATTCCTACTTTGGATGGCTCCTCCTTAAGGTTGTTTTTTTGTTTTTGTTTTTGCTTGTTTTTAATGGATTATTTCCTTTTTGCAAAAGCCACATGTTTCTAATAGAACATTTAATAAATATAGTCAAGAAAATTAAAAGTACCTGTGATCCTCCTACATAGGGTCTCACTGTGTTGCCCAGGCTGTTCTCAAACGCTTGGCCTCAAGTTATCCTCCCACCTTGGCCTCCCAAGTAGCTAGGATTACAAACATGTACCACCACACATTTTTTTTCTTTTTTCTTATTCATATGTATGTATGTATATATATAATCTGTTATAGATGTTTCCTGTGTCAATAGTTGTGTATTTTTATGGCATATTTAATGTCCAAAACTATACCATGTGGTCCTTGCCCTCCAAAATGCGTTTACTTTTAAACTTTCTGTCATAGGCTTTTCTGACATCTGACTACATTGTGCAGACCAGATTTTTTTTCTACTTTTTTTAACTTAAAAAAAAAGTAATGAAACACTTTAGGGAGTTGAAAGAGTATAAAGGACCTCATCTCCACCCCACTCTCAGTGTGAGCCTACAGCACTGAGGTGCGCTTGCATGTGGACAAGTGGTCCTTCAGGCTTTCTCATCGCCTCCTTGTCTCCTGCTCCTTGTGAGCCTTTGGCTCCTCATCCTCAGTGGGGAAGCGTGTCATTGCTCTGAATGACAGGTCAGCCAAGTGCTGCCCATCTCAGGAGTGAATAGGTCCTCGTGAGGCAGGAGAAGTAGAGGCCTAGCAGGGGAAGGGCTGGGACCCAGGAAAGAGCCACGTGAAGAGCAGAGACGACAGGAGATCTGTAGGCCCACCTCTGGGTCTGTACTTGAACTGATTTTCCTCCCAGGTGCCCCTCCCCTGCTTGGTATCCACCAGGATCCTCCTGGCCTTCCTAGGATCCCCTCTCTCAGTCCTGCCTCCCCTTAGCTCCTGATGCATCGGTGGCCATGCCTTTCACTAGGTGCTCAGCCTCAGCAGCCTCACTGCGTCTGCACCTGTCCACCCACCAGCTGTTTGAGGCCTGGGCTCCCATCGCTTCTTTGTACTTCCCACAGTGTTCGGCGTGGTGTAGACCTTCAGGTGTAGACCTTCAGGAGAGAGTTGTTGGTTGATTTATCTGTGCAGTTTTCTTAGCTGGAATCTTAATCCACTGTAAGTCAATTTCTTAGTGAAAGACAGAACCACAGCTCCCTTGCATTTCCAGCACTTAAAGATTTTTCCATTTCTTCAGTGGCTCTTCTCTTCCCAGAATTCTTTTATAGGAAAGGTTCTGACACCCAGTCTTCATCGCTTCTACCCTGGGAACCCGTCATTTGGCCTGTTATAATCCATCAGTCCCACTCTGGGGAAGCCAGGGGTGCTCTATCTGAATTTGCCCACCTCACTCTGGGCTCATGCAGGATGTGGGGACAGTCTTAGTTTCTGTTCTTCTGATGTTGCACTGACTTCCCTGATTGTGGTATCTCATGGGTGCCCACTGAGGAGTGGAGCTTTCTGTGAAGTAGACCTGACACAGGGGCCATGGCAGGAAGAGTGAGGGCCCCAGTCCAATGCCATAGCTGTGACTTGACCTTGTGTCAGATGTGGTTCTTGTTTGGGAGCTCGGCCAAGCAGGCAGAGTTCCCAGGATGGCACATCCTTGGCTCCCTGCCGCCTCTAATTCTTTCACCCCTTTGCTGGAAGCTGCTGGATCTTTTACCTTTCACTTTGTGTTCATACTGTGTACCAGGCCAGGGCATCTGGTGCTGATCAAGGTAGACCCAAGCATGGAGTTGCTGATCTAGCACAGTAGCTCTCAGCCCTGGCTATAGAGTAGAAGACTCTGCTGGGGAGTGTAAAAAATGCAGATGTCTGGGCCATACCCCCTGGTCATTTATTTTTATAGTAGTGCTACATTAGAGTCTAGGCATCTGTATTTTTTTTAAAGCTGCAGCATTGGTGCCAACACCAGACCCAGAAAACAGTACCATATACTGAGCACTTTATCTGTGGCAATATCATCTGAGCCCTTTCTGCAAGTTGTCTGTGTCTAGTTTCACCTTCTGAGTAGTGCTGGGAATTAGATAAGATGAGTCCTGCCTCAATGATTAGGAAACTAAGGCATAGACAGGCCCACCTGTCAGTGGGCATACCACTTACAAATGTAGAGCTCAGATTTAAAGCAAAGCCAGAGGACTTCCAAGCCAGCTCTAACCCCTTGTGCTATGCTACTGGCTGATCTTCTCTCTTACTTCTTGGACCGATATTCCCAGCCACCTTCCTGGGTGTCCCTCAGGCACTTCAGACTCAGCATACCTAACTGAACTGGTCAGCTCTTCTCAGAACTTCCTTCTGCCCTCTTAATGGCTTTAGCACGCCACCACTTACCAGCTGCTAAAAATGGAAACCTTACTGGGGCTCATCTCCTCCCTTTTCTTTACCCTCTCCACCACCCAATAACAAGTTGGTTCCCTACCATCATCTGTAGATTCAGATCTCAGAATTTCTTCTCTACTTCTCCCCCTCCATCCTCGTAATTCAGTTTTTCCTTACTGGACCATCAACAGTAACCTCCTATGTGGTGTCTGGAATTTTCATCTCTCCCTCTTCTTATCTGATCCACATAACACAGGCAACTGAGGTCTCTTCCTGAAGCACCATTGTTACCTGATGGCTCTAGGCTACCTATAAAGAAAAACCCCACCCCATCCTGGCATTCAGCGCACCACATGAGCTGGCCCTGGCCCATCGGTCCGGCCTCCCTGCTGACGCTGCGTACGCATGGCTCGGCACACTGATATTCTCCCTATCTCCCAGATATGCCATGCTCACCCTCGCCTCTTTGCCTTTACTCATGCCCTTCTCTGCTGGAATCCCTTTTCTCCCACAGGTCTACCTAACAAGCCTCTGTATGTTCCTCGAGACAACGCTTGAACATCAGTACTTAAAACTCCTCTGATTCCCCTGGTTAATTAGCTGCTGGCTCCTCTGTGCTCCCTCAACACAAATATCTTCCACAGCACGTAACCGCTTTTACTAGAATCATTTGTCAGCCTCCAAAACACTATAAGCCTCGGAAGCAGAGACCTCATTTGATTCCTATGTCCATAACAGTGAGCGTGAGTGCGCAGGGCTCAGTACCAAGCAGGCTCTTGGTGAAGGTTGGTTATTAGGACCCTACTTAGGCCTGTGCACTGCCTGCTTTCCTTCTGTTTGGATGGGTGCACAGCCAGAGCAGAATCTTACGGCATTTTGGCTCTGCCATTGGCTCTAAAGAGCACTAAGTATTCACAAGCATACTCCACAGATGGAAGACCAAATCAGAGAGCAGCTCTGGCCAGACAGCAAGTCAAATACCTGAGGGCAGCGGCTCCCAGTTGCTTGTGAATTCACTAAGAACCAAATATAGATTACCAGTTATTCATAACAATACCACTGGTAAAAATAAAGTAAAACTTAATCCCAGCAAACAACCCATTAAAATGTGAAGCTGCAAATTTTGATCTTGGGAAACTGTTAGACATGATGCTCACCAATGAAACTTAGAAAGGGAGAAGCTGTTATCAGGAAATTTAATATAGACCAAAAAATAGTTAGTGAGCCAAATCCTCACTGTTATATAGGAGAGAATGGATTCAATGAAAATAATTTCAGTATAATGAAAATATAAAGTAATCAGGAACAATGTCACTGTTTAGTGTAGAAAATTAATCAAAGAATTGGCCGGGTGCGGTGGCTTGTGCCTGTAATCCCAGCACTTTGGGAGGCCGAGGCAGGCAGATCACAGGGTCAGGAGATTGAGACCATCCTGACCAATGTGGTGAAACCCCATCTCTACTAAAAATACAAAAAATTATCTGGGCGTGGTGGCTGGCGCCTGTAATCCCAGGTACTCGAGAGGCTGAGGCAGGAGAATCGCTTGAACCTGGGAGGCGGAGGTTGCAGTGAGCCGAGATCACACCACTGCACTCCAACCTGGGTGACAGAGCAAGACTCTGTCTCAAAAAAAAAAAAAGAAAAAGAAAAAGGAAGAAAAGTAATCAAAGAATCAATGTGGCCTAATGGCATTTCCTCAGAAAAATTTTTGGTCAATAAATATTCCTTAATGTTGGCATAATTCTGAACACAGAGTCCACATGTTGTTGGTATCAAAGTGTCCTGTCCGTGTGTGTGTGTGTGGTTGCTGCTTTCAAATAATTATCCCCACTGTAGAATGTTAGAGCTGATAGAACCCCCAGCCCAACCCTGATACCTTTCATCTTTCCTACAGGGGGCAGTGCCCAAAGGAAATGCCACTAAAGAATTCATCGAGAGTTTACAGTTGAAGCCCGGGCAGGTGGTGTACAAGTGTCCCAAATGCTGCAGCATCAAGCCCGACCGAGCCCACCACTGCAGGTACACTCACTGGGGCTCACCTCCTCTCTTCTCCCACTGTCCTGCCTCCCTCCATCCCCGCCAATGCGTGCCTCCTGGAGTAGCACACACTTCCCCAACAGAAGCCAAGTCAGCATCAGGATTCCAAATGTCCCCTGCTCTGGGCAGAGAGTGATCATTGTGAATCTCCTTCCTGGTCCCTGTGAGCCCTCTAGATTGCAAAGAGCATTTGGTTTGGGCTCAGGACACCTGTCCCAGGACTTGACATAGGACCTGGGCAGGGCCTTTGTTTTTATATACGTAAAATATACGTAAAATGGAGGGGATTCCTGCTTTTCCTACCTCACAGCTTTATTACAAGGGTACCATGAGAAAAAGCTTTAGAAAATCATTCTGTGAATGTCTGGGACTTAAAATGAAGGGATTGTCCTTAAATGAAGGCTTTCTTTTAAAATTTCTGAAGGTTATGATAGTTGCAGAATTCAACCAAAAAAGAAAGCCATTTCCCCATCTTACATGTAGTCAGTTTTCTCTTTTTGTTTTCAGGTTTCTTTATTAAGTTTTTCTGATGAGAAGACATGTAGCCAGAAGTTGTACTTTATTGGCTGGGCACAGTGACTCACACCTGTAATCCCAGCACTTTGGGAGGCCAAGGCAAGAGGATCACTGGAGCCTAGGAGTTCAAGACCAGCATGGGCAACAAAGCGAGACTCTGTCTCTACAAAAAAATTAAAAAATTAGGCCAGGCGCAGTGACTCACACCTGTATTCCCAGCACTTTAGGAGGCTGAGGTGGGCGGATCACCTGAGGTCAGGAGTTCGAGACCAGCCTGACCAACATGGAGAAACCCCATCTCTACTAAAAATACAAAATTAGCTGGGAGTGGTGGCGCATGCCTATAATCCCAGCTACTCAGGAGGCTGAGGCAGGAGAATCGCTTGAACCTGGGAGGCGGAGGTTGCGGTGAACTGAGATCGTGCCACTGCACTCCAGCCTGGGCAACAAGAGTGAAACTCCATTTCAAAAAAAAATTTTTTTTTTTTTTAATTAGCTGGGTGTGGTGGCACACGCCTGCCGTCCCAGCTGCTCAGGAGGCTGAGGGCAGAAGATCCCTTCAGTCCAGGAGCGCAAGGCTGCAGTGAGCCAAGGTTGCACCACTGCACTCCAGCCTATGCGACAAAGTAAGACCCTGTCTCAAAAAATTTTTATTTGTTTATTTATTTTGAGACTAGGTCTCACTCTATCATGCAGGCTCATAGCTCACTGCAGCCTCAGACTCCTGGGCTCAAGCAGTCCTCCCGCCTCAGCCTCCAGAGCAGCTGGGACTACAGGCATGCACCACCACACCCAGCTAATTTTTTTTTTATTTCTTATAGAGACACAGTCTCACTTTGTTGCCTAGGCTGGTCTCAAACTCCTGGGCTCAAGTGATCCTCCCAACTCAGCCTCCCAAAGTGTTGGGATTACAGGTGTGAGCCACCTCAACTGGCATACAAGGAAACTTTAAATGCTAAATTACAGAAATACAAAAATATCACTTGGTCCCCTTTTCAGAGGGTATGTGTTTGGGTGGAGAGGCGTTATAGAGGAATGAATCTACTCCAGGTGTTGGACGTCATCCTTGCAGGCTGAGCCTGTGGAGACATCTGGGTGTGTGAGAGATTTGAAGGGCAATTTCTGCCTGGCCTTGCTGCCTGTCTTTCAGACGAGAGTGGCCAGTCTCCAGCACTCAGATTCCAAAGTCAGCTCCCCAGTACCTGTGTGCTGTGCCTGCGGCACCTCGGCCTGCCCTGCCGCAGCGTCAGTCATCTATTTTCACCTTCCTAGTCACCCCTGGAAATAGGCATTGCTGCAGGGATGGCCTCCCCAGATAAAGAAATTAAGGTTCAAAGGGGTTAAGTGAGTGCTCCAAGGTCACACAGCAGTGAGCACTAGAGACAGGTTTGGGTCCCGGCAGTTCTGGCTGCAAGTCCAGACAGGGCTCTTTCCATAGGAACTCCAGTCTGGGGATGACACATGTAACTTTATGTAGTTGTACATATGTTTTTCTGTCTGAGAGAGAGAGATCCGCAAACCTCCTCAACTGGTTGCCGCCTGCTTGAGGGCAAGGGCTGAGGAGCCTGTGCAGGGGCCTGTGGTGATTGCTAGCTCCTCCGGGGTTTCTGTCTGTGGGTCAGCTTGCTTCTGAGATCTAATTCAAGGCTTGCCTCCTGTGCCTGAGATAGAGGCTTCAGTTTGGTCTTTTCTTGCCACTCTTGGGCTCAGGAGCCAGCTGTTTTCTAACCATCACTCAGATTTTTTTTTAAAAAAAGAAAAGCTCAGCTTGCTTATGTGGTTTCTCAGGATAGCCCAGTGTGGTGGAGCAGACTCCTTGGCCTTGAAGTTGGAGTGGTTGGTGTTGGAAGTTCAGCTGTGTCGCTTGCTACACTGTGGACCTTTAGCCAGGTGCTACATCTTTCTGAGCCTTAGCTTTCTCCTCTGTAAAAAGGGTTGTTTCTTTGTAGTTTGTTGTGGGGATTAAGTATGAGTAACTGTGTGAGTCACCTACCTCAACAAGTGTAAGCTATTGCTAATAGAAGAATGTGTATGGAGTTAGGGATGTGCTGGGTTTATAAAGGCTGGACCGGAACGGGGAGGTGTTAACTTTGTATTATAGAAAAGAACTTTTGGGTGACCACAGTGATTCTTTTCTCTCCTCTCCCTGAGCCCTCAGCTGCCACCACCGCCTGGCATTTTCCTCACCGCCTCCTCCTTGCCTCTCCCCAGGATGATCCAAGGGAGGTATTCTTGTGTGCTAGTAAACAAATCAGCTTGGGCAAAGCAAGAGCTGCTGATTCAGATGAACTAAAGTGAGGATGCCTGTAGAGTTGCCTGTTCCTGCCTCAGAAATGCGTGCTGACAACTGCTCCTTTGTGATGGTGTGTGGTGGCCCAGGCCATCTGGGACCCACAATTTTGGATAAGCAGAATCCCCAGCACCCCAGACAGACTGGGTTTGTTTACAGTCCTTGAGCCCAGAGGCTGCCTGCCTGGTTAGAGAAAGTTGATGTCGACCTTGCCCACTCAAGCGAAGGTGCAGCATGTGTGCACACATGTTTGCCCCCAGCATTTTAGAATTTAAGACCGTCTCCATTCCCTTGTCTCTGGTGGATACCACAGATACACCCAGACCTTGTGCCTGTAGGTATTCCCTTCCAGCCCTATGGTATGTGGGTGGATCTTTCCCTCCTAGGAGAAGCACTCTGAAACCCCATGCTCTTTCATCCTGGTGTCAAATCTCCTGTTCAGCGGGACTATGGAAGCTTGTGGAAACTCTGTGGGAGGAGCCATGTATGCTAATGTGGATGGCCATGGCATTTGGCTTATGCTTTCAAGCTTGTCCAACCTGTGGTCTGTGTGCCACTTGCAGCCCAGGCTGGCTTTGAATGTGGTCTAACACAAATTTGTAGACTTTCTTAAACATTAGGAGACGTATGCACAGACTTTTTTTTAGCTCATCAGCTATTGTTAGTGTTAGTGTATCTTATGTGTGGCCCAGGGAAGACAAAAGATTAGACACCCTGCTAGGTTCTTCTGCATGAGGAGGGAGAGACCTCTGACTTTGTCAGCCCCCCGCCTCCACACCCCAGACACCCACCCTGAGGCTGAGACAGTCCTGGGATGCTTGGAGCCCCTGACAGATTTTTGTTGTTTTATCTTTCTCATGGTTATGATTACTGAGAAAATTTATATAGCACTAGTATTATTTTTAAAGCATTTTGCATACATTTTTGGTGCTCACAATGACCCTGAGAGATCAGAGTGATTCTGCTGAGGCTGATTGGAGAACCTAAGTTTCTTTGACCAGAGCTCAAAGTGAGGACCTGCTTTCAGATCCCCTGTTCTTTCCACTCCACTGCACTGCCTTTCCCAAAATCGTTTCTGAGCTGGAGCCAGGATGTGGTGTAGGTGTCTTTTATGCTTATAATTTTAGTCATAGCCAATGGGGGGTAAAATGAAAACCTGTGTGTGACGCCATGGCTCACTTAGTACCTTCTTGCTGTTTTCTTTTTATTTTCCCTACATGAGCATCCCAGTCTGATGTAATTGAACTCATTTCCCAGGCCTGCTCTTTCCTGTCTGTGGTGTCAGAGACTTCATTCAGCTGACCCTTGCTAAAGGGGGCCCTGGGCTTGGCTCTGAGCTTATAGAGGTGGATTAGACCTGACCCTGGGTCTAGGAGCCTCCCACCCAAGCAGGGCAGGCACACTTCTCCACCATGATACAGTTTGGTAAGTGCTGGTATAGGGAGAGACAGAATCCCCATGGGATGTGGCTATGTTTCCGTGTTGAACCATCACCCAGGATGAGCAAGAGAGCCTCAGCCAGCTCCTTTGGGGATGAGTGCCAAGTAAGAGCCCTCATACCTCCCTGGAGAGGAAACACATAAGCCCCAGAGAAACTGACTGCCTATGAGCCAGTGAGCTTGGTGGATTCTAGCAAGGTTTGGGGCCTGAAAAAATGGTAGGAAACGCCGGGCGCGGTGGCTCAAGCCTGTAATCCCAGCACTTTGGGAGGCCGAGACGGGCGGATCACGAGGTCAGGAGATCGAGACCATCCTGGCTAACACGGTGAAACCCCGTCTCTACTAAAAAATACAAAAAACTAGCCGGGCGAGGTGGCGGGCGCCTGTAGTCCCAGCTACTCGGGAGGCTGAGGCAGGAGAATGGCGTAAACCCGGGAGGCGGAGCTTGCAGTGAGCTGAGATCCGGCCACTGCACCCCAGCCTGGGCGACAGAGCGAGACTCCGTCTCAAAAAAAAAAAAAAAAAAATGGTAGGAAACCTGGAGGAAGGGGAGAAGGGAAACATCTGCCTTCTTCTACAGTGATGACATAGAAACATAGGAGGAGCCTGGGAAACCTGGAAGGCCAGGGCGCAAATACCTCCAGTTAGGGTATTTGGTCTATTCTGTGATTGTTATTGCACACTTGGTCCCTGTGCCATGGGAGCTCACCAGTTTACAGTGTCTCATCCACAAGACT